AGTCTATAGTCTAGTCTATAGTCTAGTCTATAGTCTAGTCTATAGTCTAGTCTATAGTCTAGTCTATAGTCTAGTCTATAGTCTAGTCTATAGTCTAGTCTATAGTCTAGTCTATAGTATAGTCTATAGTCTAGTCTATAGTCTAGTCTATAGTATAGTCTATAGTCTAGTCTATAGTATAGTCTATAGTCTCGTCTATAGTCTCATCTATAGTCTCGTCGATAGTCTAATTTAAAGTATAGTTTGTAGTCTAGTCTAGAGCAAAGTCCATAATCTATATTCTAGTCTATAGTCTAGTCTATAGTCTAGTCTATAGTCTAGTCTATAGTCTAGTCTATAATCTAGTCTATAGTCTAGTCTAGTTAAAAGTCTAGTCTATAGTCTAGTCTATATTCTAGTCAATAGTCTAGTTTATAGTCTAGTCTATAGTCTAGTCTAGAGTCTAGTCTATATTCTAGTCTATAGTCTATTCTTGTCTGAACTACACTCTGAACTATAGCCTCGTCTATAGTCTCGACTGAACTACAGCTTAGGGTATAGTCGTCTGTGGAGTCCCCAAAAATCGATGGAACACCTCATATCATTCATAATTTTTCTTTGATGGAAAAAAAAAGAGTCGTAGTTTTTTTTAAGCCAATTATTGCAAATTTCTTTTTCATAAAAAAAAAAAAAACTTTTAAAACAAACGCAATTTCTGCTGGAAATTTAAACTCAATTCAATTAAGTGAACAAATTGTATTTTAAAATTTTGTTTAGACACATTGAATTTATTTCGTTTTTTCTTGTGTTTAAATATAACCCCAGGGGGTTTGTCCATCAATTAATAGAAATTTATTTGCCATTTAATTGAATTTCCGTTAAAAGTATTAATAAATCCATAAAGAGATTTTTTGCACTGTTTGAGTCCAAACAAGAAAAAAAAGTATGCAATTTAATTACTAAACAGTGCAAGGAGGAAAAGGAGGAGGAGGAGAAAAAGCCACAAACCATTGTGTATGGCTGACCAAATATAAATGCATAGTTTATAGATAAACCCTAGCCTGCTACTGGTCCCCACTGCTGTGTATATTACAAATAAACAATTTTTTTAAAACAATTTGCCACACAATAAATTAAATAAGCCAAACAACTAAACAGCGGAAGACGGAAGAGAGAAAACAGTTGTTGGTGGTGGTCCGGTCTGGTCTGGTTTGTTTTGTAATATATAGTATATAAAGTATCAAGGGTAATAATATAATTGATCTATTAACTGTTTGGTTTTGTTTTAAAAAGAAAAAAAAGAAACATAAACCCAGATTTGCAGTACGTGATAAAAGATTATAAACAAGAACAGAAAAAAAAATCAGTTTTTGTAAATAAAGTATTAAATAACATGCAGAGTTTATAAAATTGCAGGTAATTAAAATTTATACTTAAACTAAATTTTAAAATAAATAATATAAGCGTTAAAAATTCTTTGAAATTAAAAATGTTCAAGGTTAATTTACAAAATTTTGCAGTTAACGGGAAATTCAAGGAAAATTTATTAAGGTCCATAGTCTGGACTGTAGTCTCTGGACTATAGTCTGGACTATAGTCTGTCCATGGTTTGGACTATAGTCTGTCCATGGTCTGGACTATAGTCTGTTCATAGTCTGGACTATAGTCTGGACTATAGTCTCGTCTATAGTCTGGTCTATAGTCTCGTCTATAGTCTGGACTATAGTCTCGTCTATAGTCTGGACTAGTCTCGTCTATAGTCTGGACTATAGTCTATAGTCTGGACTATAGTCTCGTCTATAGTCTGGACTATAGTCTCGTCTATAGTCTGGACTATAGTCTCGTCTATAGTCTGGACTATAGTCTCGTCTATAGTCTGGACTATAGTCTCGTCTATAGTCTGGACTATAGTCTCGTCTATAGTCTGGACTATAGTCTCGTCTATAGTCTGGACTATAGTCTCGTCTATAGTCTGGACTATAGTCTCGTCTATAGTCTGGACTATAGTCTCGTCTATAGTCTGGACTATAGTCTCGTCTATAGTCTGGACTATAGTCTCGTCTATAGTCTGGACTATAGTCTCGTCTATAGTCTGGACTATAGTCTCGTCTATAGTCTCGTCTATAGTCTGGACTATAGTCTCGTCTATAGTCTGGACTATAGTCTCGTCTATAGTCTGGACTATAGTCTCTCCTATAGTCTGGACTATAGTCTCGTCCTATAGTCTGGACTATAGTCTCGTCTATAGTCTGGACTATAGTCTCGTCTATAGTCTGGACTATAGTCTCGTCTATAGTCTGGACTATAGTCTCGTCTATAGTCTGGACTATAGTCTCGTCTATAGTCTGGACTATAGTCTCGTCTATAGTCTGGACTATAGTCTCGTCTATAGTCTGGACTATAGTCTCGTCTATAGTCTGGACTATAGTCTCGTCTATAGTCTGGACTATAGTCTCGTCTATAGTCTGGACTATAGTCTCGTCTATAGTCTGGACTATAGTCTCGTCTATAGTCTGGACTATAGTCTCGTCTATAGTCTGGACTATAGTCTCGTCTATAATCTGGACTATAGTCTCGTCTATAGTCTGGACTATAGTCTCGTCTATAGTCTGGACTATAGTCTCGTCTATAGTCTGGACTATAGTCTCGTCTATAGTCTGGACTATAGTCTCGTCTATAGTCTGGACTATAGTCTCGTCTATAGTCTGGACTATAGTCTCGTCTATAGTCTGGACTATAGTCTCGTCTATAGTCTGGACTATAGTCTCGTCTATAGTCTGGACTATAGTCTCGTCTATAGTCTGGACTATAGTCTCAACTATTGTCTATAGTCTGGATTACAGTCTTGTCTATATTATGGACTATAATCTAGTCTATAACCCTATATTGTTCATTAATATTCTCGACTATTCTTGCGTCTATAGTCTATGTTGCTTCGTTTAAATTGTTGACTAAAGTCTCTATTATATTATCGGTTATTCTTTAGTCTTTGGTTTCTATTGTGGACTATTATCCTTCTATGTTCTCGACTATTTCTTGATCTATAGTCTCTATTGTTTCTTCTAAATTGTCGACCATAGTTTCGCCAATTGCCACTTTATACTTCGACCAATGTCTCGTGTATAATTTTGTGTATAGTCCTGACTTTGGCCTCTTCTATTATTCCATAAAACCCCTTCCTTAACATTGTTTAAATTCGAATTATTGAGTTGATTTTTGAGTCGTTGTCCTTGGTTTCTTGAGGTCCTGAGTAAAGATCGGTCTTAATGTAAGATCCTTAACGGCGGTGTAAGTAATTCTTAATCTGTCTTGAATCCAAGTATTACGTACTCCTTTCATCATCTTTCTAAGAACTAACCTGTTGAGAACTATGTATGTTGAGTTGTTCTCTCGTCAGCTTAAATCAGCTGTTCGTTTTCTTCAGTAATAGTACCTTTATATTCCTTTCATATATCTCAACTTTTCTTTACAATTTCTATAATTTCATTCAATTGTTTCTTGAGTTTTCTATAAGGTTCATGTTAAGACTATTTCCTCGTTAAAGTATTCCTCTTAAGTATTCAAATCGCTTTCTCCTATTCTTGATATTGTGCTTGCAGTCCAAGTAGCAGTTGTAGGTGCAGTTTCCTCTAGTCCTCTTGTAAGTTTTTATTCTTATACTTATTTATAATTACAGCTTTTAAAGCTTTTATTTTTTGACATTTTTTATTGAGTACAAAACTTAATTGCATTTTTAGAGTTGTAGTTTTATAGTTTTTGTTAAGCTTCACAACTTTAAAAACACTTGTATATTTTTATATAAATATAGATTGATATTTATTATATTTTCATTTCTTAAGTTTACTATTTTTTAAACACAATTTAAACTTAAAAAAAATATACATATAGAACTAAAACAAAAAAGTTTAGTTTTAAAGTTAAAACTTATAAATTACTAGGTACTTATTTTAGATTATACAAAAATATATATAGTATAATAAGACGAAAATATTTTGAGATATATAATAAGAGATAAACTTTAAGATTTATTTAAAAAATAAAAAAATTAATATTTAAAATATTAAAAAAAAAAAATATCAGAATTTTTTAAAAATATAAAAGCTGATATTTAGTCTTTTTTTAACATTTTAAATATTAAGTTTTTAATTTATTTATATTTTGATTATTTTGGGGTTTATGTAAAAATAAAAGTTTAATATTTTTATACAATATTAAATTAAGTAAATATATATATTTTTTTATAATATATCAAAGCGTTAATTTTGTTGGGGATTTATTTTTTTTAGTTTTCAAAATTGTTTTTTTTTTTTTCTGTGGCAGTTTTTATACTTAAAAATTTTTATTACAAAAAAAAAAAATTAAGGAAGATTTTTTTTCTTTTAAAATTTAAGTACTACTGTGTATTTTTTGGTTCTCTATATATATAAAGATATATTTAACTTAATTCCCTTGTTATAATTCGTTAGTTAAATTAAATTTTGCGTTTTTTTAGAAATTTGTTTTAAAAGAAAAACTTAAAACAAATTTCTTACTTTCAAATAAGTTTTTTTTTTTTTTTTTAACAAATTTTGTTTAATATTTGACTAATAACTTTTAATAATTGTTGTTAAATATATGAGCTTAAGTTTTGTTAACATTATAAAGACCTCAGCAAGGAAAAGCTCAAATGTAAATGTTTAAAAATTTAATTAATTGTTAACACTGTCAGCCATTAGGCTTTAGTATAAACAATTTATTTTTTCAATATTTACATTTGTTCTCTTAAATTAACCTTAAAAAGATCCTTTTAAGTCTTGTTAAAGTAACTAAAATATATAAAATATTTCAACTTAAATAAGTTTACTTAAACTTAATCTAATATATATAAAAAAAACTGCAAAATATATTTATTTTTGGTTCTAAGTCTAAACAGAAAAATTCGTTTCTTTATAAAATATTTTAATCTATAACAGTTTTGTTTTCTAGTTTATAAAAATAAAGTTCGTTTCTTGAAAATATTTTGTGTAAATAAGTTTTATTTATTTTTTTTCTAGATTTTGTGAAGCTTTTTTTTCTTGAATTCCTGTAATGCATTTTTTTTTTTTTCGTTTTTGCTGGCAAAAGCATTTTGCACAATAGTTGGCTTTTAGCCAAAATATTTCAGTTTTATCATTATTTAGTATAGCAGGGGTTTTGCTTTTTTCTAGGTTGTGTTAAATTGTATGTTTTTACAATTTACATTTGTTGTTGGGGTTTTGATAGAGGGGGGTAGGAGAAGTAGCAGGTGTAGGAAGAGTAGGTGCTATAGACATCCTGTATTTTCTTTTTTTTTGCTTTAGAGAGAATGTGTTTTTAAACTTTCGTTGCGACAATAACTTATTGTAAATAATCATTATGTTATGCTCTGCTTTACCATTTCTTTTCGAATTTAATTATAAAAGACCTTGATGAGTTTATACGAAAGTTTTAATGAAGAAAATTTTCAAAGGAGGACTCAGTTAATTTTTAGTTCTAAAAAGTATTCAACTTTTCAAAAGGTTTCTAAGAAAAAATGGAAAAATGTTAGGAACTTTTACAAATGTTTAAAACACTACACTGGAAGGCTGTCAAATTTTAATCGATAGCAAATTTTAATCAATATCTCATGTCTTATGTTGCTTCCCTGTCTAGGGGTCTTTAGACTAAGATGTTTTGATACCTCAATCGGTTTTAACTCGAATGCATAAATGTTTAAATAAATGTCAACAAAGTAACAGCTGTAGAGCCGGTATTACCGGCCCGGTAGTCCTTTTTTTAAGGATAATCATTCGATTGAGATCTCAGACCTTCAAGGGCGCTGAATATATGGACATGATTTAGCCTTGAAATCTTTCAAAGATTTCACTATATCTTGTACTAAATTACCGGCCTTTTTAAGCTAAATTGTAAAGAACTCTAAAGTTCTTCTAGTTTAGCAACCGAGAGACGAAAATGTCCCCTAAATACCACTTGGCATTAACATCATTTTGAGAAGAAAAAACTTTGTCAGTTAGTCAAATAGAAGAAAAATCGCCTAAATAAGGTTTTTTTCTCTAAAAAGGCAAAAAAAAAAATGCAATTTGAGGGCAACATTATATAAATTTAAGTTCTTAAAAGTTAGCCTAATACCAAAAAATCACTAAAATATAAATGTTTCTTGGCAAAATTCTCAATTCTATCATAAAAAAGTTGCCACTTGGAAAAAATCACAAAATATTCAGTTTCAGGGCAAAAAATGTTGCAAATTTTTGGCAAATTATGTAACAAAATTGACTTTAGCTAGCTTGTCACAATGAAAACAAGGTAGCCAGAGCGCATAAACCCTTAAAATAATGTGATTTTATTGATCCGATGTAAAAATCGCCAAAAATGTTTCAAAAAACTAATAACAAGAAAAAAGTGCAATTTTTTGCATTTTGAAGGCGAAGAAAGGCCGCTATAGGGATTTGCATTCAACCTAACATTGTTTGTTTATTCAAAATAATAATATCAAAGTAGCCAGATTGATGAAATCGCTAAAATAAAAACTTATTTTTAAAATGTTTAAAAAGGGCAAAAAAAGTGCAAGTTTTTTTGCAATTTGAAGCACTACAAGGCAACCATTAAGATTAGTGAACAAACCAGATATTGTTTGTTTTTCGATTCAATTCAAAAAAGTTGCCAGATTGAAAAAAATCGCTAAAATAGAGATTTACTTTTTGAAAAGGCCAAAAAGTGCAATTTTTTTGCTATTTGAAGGGCAAAAAGGCAATCAATTAGATTAGTAAATAAACTTGTTCTTGTTCTACTCAATCATAACAAAGTTGCCAGATGGAAGAAAACGCCAAAATGTTTAAAAATGCAATAAAGTGTACTTTTGGGCGTTTTTTTAAAGTAAAACCCCCATTTTAAAACCCATTTATCGATAAAAAGATTTTGTTTTAAAAATTTTTAATTTTGAAAACCTTTTTTTCAAGATTTTAAATATTTTTTTACAAAATTGCGCTTAAAAATTCTTTTGCAAGCAGCAAAATGTTGTGTTTTTTCAAGAAATTTTGATTTTCAAGAAAATTTTCTTAAAAGAAAGGTTTTTTATAAAAAATTTCCAAATTTTTTAAAGTTACATTTCAAAACTGTCTTTTTTAAAAGTTTTGTAAAATTTTACAAACATATTTTATAAAAATTCCTGAAAAAAATCTTTTATTTTAAAATTATCTTTCAATATCCTTAAAAAAAATTTAAGTTTTTTAAAATTTTCTTAAGTTTTTGTTTTTCACAAAATTTTACTTAAATTTTTTTTTTAATTTTTACAATTTACAACAAACTACTTTAGCAAAAACTACTTAACAACTTTCTACTACTCGCTTTACCTTTAACCGGGAGCACTTTTCGTCGAGCGGCGCATAAATATTAAACGTTTACGTCTTCTAGCCTGTCTCAGGCCGGCTGCACTTTTTTCGGGAGATTTTTTATTAGATTTTTCGGTAAAACCTGTCGACTCGGCGGTTTTTTGCATATTTTTCATTAAAGGTTTATGTTCTAGTTTGGTGAAATTTTCACAGTCTTGTTGAAACAATTCCAATGTCGAAGTAGATGTTAAAAGTTTTACGGAGGACTTATCCGCAGAGTGTGAAGGGTGTTGTAAGGGCTGGTGATAATGATGTAATTGTAGATGACTGAATTTTTTGTGACATCTTTTGATGTTGGCTTTAATTAAAGGAGCCGTAAAACGTTTACCCAATTGAGAGGCTAAAGAGTGGGATTTGTGTGGCGGCTGCTGTTGGTCATTTAAGTTATACAAAGGATTAGAAGGATTTAGTTTAGTGTCCTCCAGTTTTGCCGTTTGTTGGACGACTAAGTCGTCATAGCGTTGAACCTCAGTCTTAAGTGTACTACTACTACTACTGCTGCTACTTTTATCGTTTAATAAAGTGGCGGGGGGTTCAGCGCTAGGCTCTGAACTTTTTATAGAAGTTTTATTTATATCTGCTGTTGTTGTTGTTGCTGTTGGTGTTAATTGAGGCTCATTTTCCTCGTTTTGATTTACACCGGATGACTTTCATGAACGTTTGGCTGAATCCTTGCGAAAGGATTTACGTAACTTATCCACTAAACGTAAATGAAATTTACTTATATCATTCTGGGAGCCAGTTTGATTGTTTGCTGAAGCTGTTGTTGTGTTACTTTGTTTGGGTGGACTTTGTGAGGGTTGACAAAAGGATCGGGTGGGCGATAGTGCAGCTGAACTGGTTGAAGTTCGCGAAGCATTACGTGGAAAGGTTTTTTGTGATTGACATCTTTGCATTTGCATGCGATAGGTGTGACTGGGTGAACTGGCAAATGATTCAGACTTCATTCTTTGTCTACCCCTGGAGTTGGGATTTATACCCATGGCTGAGGCCATATTGGGTGTAGCCGTGCTGTTGGCTCCTGTGCCATTGGAGGATTCTGAGGTTTTACGTGAACGTCCTTTATCTTTATAGATATCGTAATTGTTTTTCATTACCGGCATCATAAAAGCCATTTTGTTTAAATATTTTCTTCCAACTGGTTTTTAATAAAATAAATTTTATAATAAACAAATAGGAACCTTTTTTCTTTTAATTTTCTCACAAAAAGGCACTTTTTCTTTAACTTTTTTCCAAATTCCTAAACCACCACTTTGTATTTTTTTCCACTTCACTTCAAAATGGAGTTTTTCTGCTGCTTGTTCTAGATTTTTCTTTTCTGTCTCTCTTTTTCACTGCAGTTTTTTGTTTGTTTTTGTATTATTAATGCAAACCTTGCAATTTTTTTTTTGTTTTAATTTTATTTATTGTTTATTTTCCACTTTATTTTAATGTTTTTATGGTTCTTTTTTTTTGTTTTTATTACTATATTTCCACTAAACTTTTGCTTTTATTTATATTTTTTTCAACTCTTTGTTTTGTTTTCCACCTGTTGCGTCTTGTGTTGTTGTGAACCGTTTAAAAATTCAACTACGAATGATTGCCGCACGGTGGTGTCATGTTATTTTATAAAGGAAAAAATTCTTGAACTCAAAAACAAAGAAAACTCAAAGAGAGACAGAGAGAGAGTGTCACATATTATCTCTCCTCAATGAAGCAACAACAACTATAAGCATGCAATTGCACTAATGAAAGGGGAAATGACTCAATGTAAACAAAAGAGTAAAATGACGCAAAAAATAGAGTTGCCATATGGTAAATAATTAAAATTAAAGGAAAAACGCTTAAAATTACTTAAAATACCTTGAAAACGACACAAATAAAAACGTTTATAATAAAATATATGAAATTCTTAAGAAAAAAGTCGAAATTTGAAGTTATTTATTAAAAATTTTAAAAAAGCAAAATTTTAAAAATTAAAGAAATATTTAAATTTTATTGCAAAAATAGTATTAAAAACTTCTTAATAATAAGTTTTTAATAGGAATAAATATTTTTATTGAAAAAATATTTATCTTTAGAAAAAATTAAAACTAAATTTTAATTTCAGAGTAAGAAATGTGTAAATGATTATAATTTTAATTTTTTTTTTTTTGAAATATTTGTTATTTCAAAACAATATTTATTGAATTTTTGAATTAAAAAGAATTTTTGTATAATATTATAAAGTAGTAGTAATTTTTTTTCAATTAACAAATTGTTTTTCAAACTTTTTTTTTAATTTTATTAAAAATTTTATTTTACAAAACGCTTAATGTCATACATTTATCAGCGCCTTGTTGTTTTTAAAATTTGTTGAACATCTGCTTTTGTAAAACTTTGTATGTTTTATTGTTATTTTTTTCTAAAAATTACTTGTTTAGATCTTATTTATCTTATAAACATGGTATAAAATGAAAAAAAAACACAATTCATTTTGTCAACATTTCTATAAACGTCAATGGTTTATGTTGCCAAAGAATTTATTTTCTATAGGGAAATAAAATATTTAGAGCATTAAATGAAAATAACATATAAAATAACCATAAAAACACGTAAACAACATGCAATTTACATTAGATAAAAAAATGACAAAAAGGCGTCGTCGGTTTTAGGGTTTATTTATAAAATACAAAAACCAAAACAACTTAAAATTGGCAAGAAAATAAAAAAATATCTAGAAGTTTTATAAAAAAATAACAAATAATAAAAACAAAAAAAAAACTTAGAAAAAATAAAATATTTTTAAATTTGTTTTAAAAACTTATGTTGTTAAAGTTTTTATGAAAATGTTTTAGATTTTCTTTTAATTTTCATAAACTTTTGTTGCTATTTCCTAAAATATGAATTTAGTTTTATGTTCTTCCCCTAAAATTTTAATAAATATAACGGAATTATAATTCCCTTAACCTTGATTTCATTTTTAATATTTCAGTATTAAAGTTCAAGTTTTATTATTTATTTAATAGTTATCTAAAAAATAGCTTTAATTTTGTTTATTTAATTATTTTTTTAACAAATATTGTTTACTTGAGCTATTTGTCTATATTCTAATCAATCAAAAGAATAAGAAAAAAAATAATTGTCTCAAAACAGTTTATTTATTTTTTATTTTTTCTTAATCACAAGCAAAAAACATTTGTTTATTTCTTGTTTCATTACGTTAATTGAAATTTTTATTATTTTATTTTATTTATTTTTTGTCATTTGTTTAAAAAGTATGAATGATATCAAGCTACAATGTCTTATGAGTATTATTAATCACGAGTAAAATTGCGATAAATAATAAGGGATCATTTGGAAATGAGTAATAATAAGTAAATGAATGCATAAATAATCCGTCAAATGCACTATAGTTTATTTAATTAATTAATTTCTCAATTTTTATTTAAACGAGAGATTTTTTTGAGTTTTTTCTCTTTTGTATAAAATACTATTTCATTTTTGCTTTAAGTTTTATGATAACATTTAAATTAAGAACTTTTTTAGTTTTTACTTTAATTTACGCTTTTCCCAATCGTTAAGTAACGCTTTACTATTTTAAAGTAGTTAACATCACTTTTACACAAATACCGTTAGTTTTAAGATTTGTTACAGGCATGGAAAATTGATATTTTGAAATGGTACTAACTTGAAAGAAAAATAGTATTTTTTTAAGTTTTAAAGTACTAAACTAATTTTCTGCCACACTATAAACTATTCTATATACTAGACTATAGACTGGACTATAGACTTGACTATAGACTACACCATAGACTAGACTAGACTATAGAATAGACTATGGACTAGACTATAGACTAGACAATAAACTAGTCTGACTTATATAAAGTCTAGTCTATATTAAACTAGACTACAGACTGGACTATAGACTAGACTATAGACTAGACGATAGGAAAAAATATAAGCTAGAATATGGACTATATAGACTATATAGACTAGACTAGAGAATAGATCATAGATTTAAATAGGCTATAGATCAGACTAGACTTTAGACTATAGATTAGACTAAACTATAGACTAGAATATAGACTAGAATATAGACTAGACCTTAGACTAGACTATAGACTAGATTGTAGACTAGACTATTGATTAGACTATAGACTAGACTATAGGAAAGACTATAAGTCAGAATAAAGGCTAGAATAGACAAGAGAATGGATCAAGACTAAACTAAGTAATACTATAATATAGACTGCAGACTAAACTATAGACTGGGCTATAGACTAGACTATTGACTAGACTATAGACTAGACTTTAGACTAGACTATAGACTAGAGGATGGACTGGTCTATTGTCTACTATGTGGACTACACATTCAACCAAAGTTTAGGACAGTATTCTTCACTAAACACGAAAAAGTACTAAAGTACTGAAGTTTCCATGCCTGATTTGTCATACTGTAAATAAAAACAACAACATTCACGGGCTCTCTTTACTTGCGAGAAGCAATAAGAGTTGCCAAAATCCTGATTAGGGGTAGAATTTTTTGCCAACAAATTAAGGAATTTCAAACAAATAGAAATAAACCCTTCATTTCTAAGCCAATAAGTAAAGAAAATGTATAAATTTACTAAAAACTTCTTTTAAAATCCGAATATGGTAAAAGGTAATTATTTATTTAACATATAAATTAACATAAAACGCTATCGCTTTCCATTTGATACGAATTGAACATTTTATCAACAACACCCTAATATAAGTGAAAAAAAAGAGTGCTAGCAACCCTAGCAAATAAGGAGTACATAAACGAAATGAATTTCCACTCAAGAGTGACAATTTTTATAAACATTAATAGGGATCAACAAAAGTTGTTAAAATTTCTGTTCATTACAACATATTCAGCAATTACTTTATTAATTTTATATAAATTATATTACCTTTGTTATTTAATTACAATTTTTAACTATTTTGTTCAAATATTTTCACTTTTAAAGTTATCACTTTGTTTTGCTTACTAACAACGACGTTAAAATTTTTCAGCGTCTTTGTAGTTTGACGTTTTGTTTACGTTTACTAGTGCTGCCAGATGGTGGTTTAATGCTTCAACAATGTTATAATTAAGCGTTTTTATGTTAGTATGAAAAAATAAAAGCCAAAAATTAAAATTTTGTTAGAAATTGTTAAAAAGTCTCAAAGATATTTTAAAATTAAATCAATTTAACTAAAATTCTTGGTATTTTAAAACTTTTTAACCAAAAACTTACTTTTTTTACTAAAGTAGTAAATATTCCTTAAATAACCAAACTTTTGTGGTAATTTTTTTATTTATTTTCCATGAAACGTTTTTATTGATTTTCTTTTATATTGGGGGTTTAGGGGGGTTGGAATTATTTATTTTTATTATTTTTAAATATATATAATAAATTCCTTTATAATGAAAGTTTGTTTATGTAGGTGCTGTTAATGCATAATGCTTTCGTTTTTTTTAAATTTATTACTTTTAAGAGTTTACACGTTTATTTTTTTAAATTTTAATAAATTTTTATTTATTTTTAATTATTGTTTTGTTATGTTTTCGGTCAATAGGTTTTTGTCGTTTTTTTAATAAAGACAGAAAATGTTTAACAATTTTTTTATTATTTTTTTTAAAGGATTGTGTTTAAAGTAAGTTGAGATTTAAATGCAATATTTAACAACACAATTCTTTGTTTTTTCTTCAATATTTAAATGTAAATATTGTTTGTTTAATTTTCTTTAAGTAAATGTTTTTTTTGTTTTTGTTTTTATAGTTAAGTTAATATATAATTTTTTATTTAATTTATAATAAATAACAATAAGTTGTTTTAGTATATTGAACTAAATAATTATGTAAATGAATTAAGCTAAAGCTGTTTTTAAGTAATATTTAACAAAAATCATAAGAATAATATATAAATGTTATATGATTTTTATTTAAATGTTTTTTTTTAGTAATATTTATATAAAGTTATTAAATTTTTTCTAAACAAGAGGCATCTTAGGTTTATTTAAAGAAAAATTATAAATTTTTATAAAAAAGGGAAGTTTTTATTTTTAGTTGTGTTAAACTTAATATTTTTCTAGAAGAAATTTGTTTTTTTTTTTTTTCATTTTATGGGAAAATTATATTAAATATTTTGTGTTATTTAAGTTATTTTAATGCTTAATTAGTCAATTCACTTGCCAATTTTAAGTTCTCGGTTACTAGGTTTAATGTATTTTATAAAATTAAGTTTTGTATTAAAAATTAATACTTTTACTCATATTAAATTTAAAGAAATTTTGAGCCACACTTAGTAATTTAAATTATTTGAACAATATTTTTACAAAAAAAAAACTACTAAAATTCATAAATTCTTGCAAAAATAAAAACAAGTCTATAGACTAGTCTAAAGTCTACCCTAAAGTCAAGTCTACAATCTAGTCTGTAGTCCAGTCTATAGTCTAGTATATAGTCTGGTCTATAGTATAGTCTATAGTTCAGTTTATAGTCTAGTCTAGTCTATAATCTAGTCTAGCCTATAGTCTAGTCTTTAATCTAGTCTAGCCTATAGTCTAGTCTATAATATAATCATAATATAGTTCGTAGTTTACTCTGTAATCAAGGTTTAAATCG